ATGACAGAAAAAATAGGTAACCATGAATGATCATTATAAGTGAGAAAGATAAGTAACATTAGATTATAATAAGTAAGAGATATAAGGTATACTACTAACAATTATGATAAAAACGTAAATGATAATGATATGAATTATAATTTCATTACAGAGTACTAATCGAATTTGATAACGTAGGCCTACTTACAAATAAGAAACAGTTGCAAGTAAAAGATTACTTGTAACTGACTGATAACGATAACTGATATCAAGTGACTGTCAGTACAAAGAATGGAGGTGTGGCCTAGGAGAAGGGTTAGAGGCAGGACGTGTTCCCATTTAAGCATACATAGACGTGAAAAGGTTCTACATGTGCGTAAATGAACAAGACCACATGACTCCTCCAGTGAAAAGGTTCTACATGTGCGTAAATGAACACACGAACACGGCTCCTCCCGTGAAAAGGTTCTACATGTGCGTAAATGAACACACGAACACAACTCCTCCCGTGAAAAGGTTCTACATGTGCGTAAATGAACACACGAACACGACTCCTCCAGTGAAAAGGTTCTACATGTGCGTAAATAAATAGGTAAACTCGGCTCCCGCACTGCTACAAACTACAGGCTCTCGGTGGAGACACGCACGACCTACTGCAAATCTACATCGCTGGGAAATGAAGGATAAAACCTCAGCCTCAATCCTTCTCTCTCCTTACTTCTCCCCTTCCCTCCGTCCTCTCACTCTACCTCGCCTAGCTCAATTCCTTCCTCTCTCAATCTTTCTCTCCTCCTCCCTCTACTCCTCCCTTTCCTTTCTCCCTCCCTCCCCTTTCTTCCCTCCGTCCTCCCTCTCTTTTCTCTCCTTCCTTCCCTCCCCTTCCTTCTCCGTCCTCCCTTCCTTCCTTCCTCTCTTCCTCTACTCTTTCCCTTTCTCCTCCTCCCTCAATCCCTTTCTCTCCTCCCTCCTCTAATTCCCTTCTCCTCCTCCCTCCCTCCCTCTCCTCCCTTAATCCTTCCTTTCCTCTCCTCCCTCCCCTTCCCTTCCTCCCTCCCTCCCCTCTCCCTCATCCCTCCACAATCCCTTTCTTCCTCCTCTCCCCTCCCTCCCCTTCTTCCTCCGTCCCTCCCTCAATCCCTTTCTCCCTCCCTCCTCCCTCTCTCCTTCCCTTTCTCCCTTCTCCTCTCCTCCTTCCTCTCTCCCTCCTCTTCCTCCCTTCCCTCCTCCCCTCCTCCCTTTCTCCCTCCTCCCTCCTACCCTATCTTCCTCGTCTCTCCCTCAATCCTTCCTCCCCTCCCTCCCTCTCCCTCTATTCCTTCCTTTCCCTCCCCTCCAAACTCCCCGAGACGCAGATACACCTTGGGCAGGAATGTCAACAAACCAGGATCGAGGGAGGCTACTCTGCAAGTCGCCAATGTTGCCACGTTTTCAGTAGCCGGAGTGTTGGAAAACGGTTGGGAGTGTGAAGTCCTTGCGGCACGAACGGACGAAGAAGGAGAGAGTACAGAGAACACGCAGCTTGGCTTTTTGCTAGAGAGAGAGAGAGAGAAGAGAGAAGAGAGAGAAAGAGAGAGAGAGGAGAGATAGGAGAAAGAAGATAGAAGAGAGAGAAGATAGAGAGGGAGAAGAGAGAAAGAAAGAAAGAGAAAGAGAAAGAGTTCTTCTCTCTTCTTTCTCTCTCTCTTTATGTGTGCGTGTGTATGTGTGTGTGTGTGCGTGTGTGTGTGTGTGTGTGTGTGTGTTGTGTGTGTGTGTGTGTGTGTGTGTGTGTGTGAGAGAGAGAGAGAGAGAGAGAGAGAGAGAGAGAGAGAGAGAGAGAGAGAGAGAGAGAGAGAGAGAGAGAGAGAGAGAGAGAGAGAGAGAGAGGAGAGAGAGGGAGAGAGAGAGAGAGAGAGAAAGTGAGAAAGAAATAAAGAAAGAGGGACACCTTTAACGGAATAATAATAATAAAAAAAACACATATCAGTTTAAGCTGTAATTACATGACGGGACACTTAATTAATGAAGGAAAAGTAACAAAGCGCTCACCAGAAAATCTTTTTGAAATTGCTAAGGGAAGATTTAAAAAAAGTATGTCAGGAAAAACATACATGAAGACATACAGATACTTACACGTGCTCGTACACATGCACACGCTCATACAGACACACACTCACACACACACACACACACACACACACACACACACACACACTCAAACACACACACACCAACACATCATACAACCACATGCTCAAACAAAACACACGCATACACACACACACACATACATAACACACACACACACACACGCACACACACACATTACGCAGACGCGCGCGCGCTAAAATACACTGAGATTCTTTCAGGTGAATATTTTGTTTTTAGAAGCAAAAGTGTTTCCGACCATGAAAATACCAGAATGTTTTCCCTCAAATTTCTGCTTGAAATTCGACGTTCAGAGAAAAAAAACAGTTTTCTGTTGAAAGTGAATGCAAATGGATAAAATGATAGTGATAGATAGATAGACAATAGAGAGTTAGATAGATAGGTAAATAGATAGATAGATAGATATAGATACATATAATAGATAGATAGATAGTTAGATAGAGTAGATAGATAGATAGATAGATAGATGATAGATAGATAGATAGATAGATAGATAGATAGATAGATAGATAGATAGATGATAGATAGATATTATAGATATATAGAAAGATAGATAGATAGAGAGATAGATAGAGAGAGAGAGAGAGAGAAAGAGAAAGATAATGAAACAGGCAGATAGACAAGCAGAGAGACAGACAGGCAGACAGACAGACATGAAACAGACAGGCAGACTGAGGGAAGGAGAAAGGTACATTTACAGACAGATCTTTTATGTATCTCTCGGTGTCTGTCGGACAGGTAGCCAGGTGTGCTTGAGTATGTATACACGTACGTGCGTACATGTAACCAATTTTTCTTGAATGGATTGAGGCAAAGAAGTAGAGTGATACGATCAATTTTAAGTAGACGAAGGGGATATAGTAATATTACATATAGGAAACAAAGGAAGAAGAGGAAGGGACCCTTCGTATAAGGGCAAGGAAGAAGAGAAAAAGAAGAGGGAAGAGAGAAAGAGAGAAGATAGAGAGATAGAGAGAGAGATAGATAGATAGATAGATAGATAGAGAGAGAGAGAGAGAGAGAGATAGACAGAGAGAGAGAAGAAAAAAATATAGAAAATGAACAATATCTATACAAAAAGGAGAGGGAAGAGCTAACAGCATCAACAAAAGAGAGAAAAAACATAAACAACAATAAAACAACAACAAATATATATAAACAAGCAAAATGAAAGGAACGCAAGAATCTAATAGAAAAGGGGACAGGACTTTGGGAGACTAAGGGGGACTTAAGAAAAGTCTTTGTAGACATCCAGCGTGTGAAACTACGACAGGAAAAGTTGGGAGTCTGTTCGTTTTCGAATTTCCAGAGAAAAGGAGAGAGAGGGGAAAGGAGGAGAGATAGATAGATAGATTGATAATAGATAGAGAGAGAGAGAGAGAGAGAGAGAGAGAGAGAGAGAGAGAGAGAGAGAGAGAGAGAGAGAGAGAGAGAGAGAGAGAGAGAGAGAGAGAGAGAGAGAGAGAGAGAGAGAGAGAGAGAGAGAGAGAGAGAGAGAGAGAGAAAGAGAAAGAGAAGAAACAGAAAAAAAATCGAGGAAAGAGGCAAGCCAATCTCCATTTTTTCGGCGTCTATAGGATCACAAAGCAAATTCTTTTCCAAGGTATAAACTGACAGATAGTTCCTGTTCTGAAAGGAAACTAACACTGTACTTTAATTGTTTTCTTCCATATGTCTCTATCATGTGTGTGTGTGTGTGTGTGAGTGTGTGTGTGTGTATGTGTGAATGTGTGTGTGTGTGTGTGTGTGTGTGTGTGTGTGTGTAGATGTGCGTATGTGTGTGGGAAATTTAACTCTTTAAATTTGTGTGTTTGTGTGTGCTGTGTGTGTGTGTGTGTGAATATGTATGTGTGCGTGTGTTGTGTGTGTGTGTGTGTGTGTGTGTGTAGATGTGCGTTTGTTTTGCTCTTTAACCTTTTAAATCGTTCACACAACTAATGAACTTACTAATCGACCTGTCCAAAATTCATTCACGTATCTATTAATTTCTACAAATTCGCTTCCACATACCATCCTGAAAATCAAATTCAAATATTTCCCCTTTCGTTCTTTGCAATCTATTTCTCATCTGCGCATCAAAAAGGGAAACGCGCTTACTCCAAAATTACTCATTAATAAGTATTTAATCCATGAAGTCCCTCACCTCGATAGTCATTTGTTTCTGCGGTTCCATGGCTCTGTGCGCAAAGAATCATAAAATAAACTTATTTTGTGTGTGGACTCGTATTTAATTAATAGTCGTTTGTATTTGCGTGTTTGTTTAGATTTGCGTTTTAATCTGTACTTAGGTTGTTTGTGTCTGTATATACGTATATGTTTTTGTTTGTTTCTGCTTTCATTTCTGTATATGTGTATATTTTTATGTATATGCACTCATGTTAATGTTTGTTTTGTTATGGTCTTTTAGCATGTTGGTTTGTGACCGTCTACATGTGCATGATCTTGAGTTCGTGTATGGGCGGAAATGTTCGGACATCAGTAAGAAGTGTATTGTACACGCAGTTCATAATTCAGAAATTGGAAACTATTACTTTCCCAGTATCTGCTCATACGCGGTTTGTGATACATTTAGAATATGGCGAAGGTATTGTACAATGATAAAAGTTCTCGACATTATTAGAATGAATTAAGTAATAAGTTTAGTTATTTACTAGCCGGGTGAGCTGTGCACTTTCATGTATTTGATACTTAGTCATAAGATAATTTCTTATTAGAAATTTAGGATCTAATATAAATCTATCTTTCGTCATACGCAGTATATGTACCCTAATTCCCGGGGACATCAGATTAGATTATCTTTTCCTGAAATGAATATGCAAATTGGAAATGTTTTATGGTACGGCTTTCAGGCCAATAAGAATTTGTCAGATCACTTAAATTCTCTTTGTAGATTTTAATACTCTGTTAAATTCCAGCGAGGGATACTGCACCCACGCTCTCCTATTTTCTCTATGCGATCAAATTTTTCCGTAACACGTGGTATACAAACGGCGTGATTAAAATGTATATGATTTCCTTATTGTGCGCGTTATACGTTTTATATTTACAATATTTCCATCGCCCTTATCGAGTGTTCATAGTCTGAAGAAAGATAACTCTCTAGTCTTGATTTCATGTGAGGTCTGCGACTAGAATCATTCCTACCAAGTCATGTTGCATAGTGCTACCTACCTACTCTCTTGCAATCATTGAGTTGCAAATGTTTTTTTTTAGTTTAGTCCTTTATTTACCACCCTGGCTAACTGCACGGGCGTGGGCAAGCTGTGGTACATTTGATGTATGGTCAAAGCATTATATAATAGTATTACAGTGTAAATCTAGATCATAAAATTATTACGGTCTAAAATATATCATTTAAAAGAAAAGAATAATCAGTATATCTACTCTCCTATCAAGCCGGCATACGGCTTGGGCGTGGAAAGGCAATGTAACATTTGATATGTGGTCATGTGATACTACATTCCAAATTTAGGATATAACATAATTATATCTTCCAAGACATCAGATGATATGAAGTAGTTACATAGTTCTCCATACCTCATGCTAGGTGGTCTGAAAGGCTGTATTACATGGCACTCTGAGATATAATGTAAATATTCGCTTATATTCTTCATTGCATAATTTACACTTAGTTTCTTCAACATTACAGGCTGTACTGACCTGCCAGTACAATCTATATCCCAGCCTGATTCTTGCGGTCACAATATCACACTGTCTTGTTCTTGTTTTGTATAAACCATAGATGAATACATCTTGCATAAACCGGTCATAGTGCTTTATGCTACAGCTTTCAGGCCGTTGAGAATTAATCAAGTCAGACAAGTCCTCTTTGAAGGAAGTTTTAATTATGTGTGAAATCCTAGCAAGAGGTACTCCAAGATCTATATCACACTTTGCTTGTCATGCTGATTTTGCTAGGCGGTCAGCATGATCATGCCTGGGGATTCCAACATGCGATGGTATCCACACAAAACGTATGTCATGGCCTCGCTTTTTTGCACGATACACATTTATCCTTATGTCATTTGCAATATTTCCTGCACCTTTGTCTAGTGTGTTCAATGCCTGGAGAGCACTCTGTGAGTTGCAAATGGGTATTTAAAACTGGGTGTTATTTTCCGGAGACTTTCATCGCCGTCTACACAGATGTGTGTGTGTGTGTGTGTAGACTTTCATTTCTCTCTTACTCTCTGTCTGCCTGTCTCTCTCTCTCTCTTACTCTCTCACCTGCTTTCTCTCTCTATCTCTTTCTATGTCTCCTCTCTTCTGTCTATCTCTTTCTCTTTCTTTCGATCTCTCTCTCTCTCTCTCTCCTCTCTCTCTCTCACTCTCTCTCTCTCTCCTCTCTCTCTCTTCTCTCTCTCTCTCCTCTCTCTCTCTCTCTCTCTCTCTCTCTCTCTCTCTCTCTCTCTCTCTCTCCCCCTTCCTCATCTCTCTCTCCCCTCCCCTCCTCTCTCTCTCTCTCTCTCTTTCCCTTTCTCTTTTTCTCCTTCCCTCCCGACATCTATTTCTTTCACACACAAAAACGTCATACATGGTCTTTTCCTCGTGAAACCGCTCCATGCTCCTGCCTTAGTTTAGAAGCGAAAATAAAATGAAAAGAGAACGAGAAGAGAGGAGAGAGAGAGAGAGAGAGAGAGAGAGAGAGAGAGAGAGAGAGAGTGAGAGAGTAGAGAGAGAGAGAGAGAGAGAGAGAGAGAGAGAGAGAGAGAGAGAGAGAGAGAGAGAGAGAGAGAGAGAGAGAGTGAGAGTGAGAGAGAGAGAGAGAGAGAGAGAGAGAGAGAGAGAGAGAGAGGAGAGAGAGAGAGAGAGAGAGAGAGAGAGAGAGAGAGAGAGAAGAGAGAGAGAGAGAGAGAGAGAGAGACAGAGAGACGAGAGAGAGAGAGAGAGAGAGAGAGAGAGAGAGAGAGAGAGAGAGAGAGAGAGAGAGAGAGAGAGAGAGAGAGAGAGAGAGA